TGAATTCTGTATCATATTGTGTTGTTCTGTCCACGCTGTCAAATGCTTTTTCGTAGTCAATGAAGTTGATGTAGAGTGATGAATTCCATTCGATTGATTGTTCCACAATGATCCGTAGAGTTGCAATTTTGTCTGTACACGATCTATCCTTACAGAATCCTGCCTGTTGGTCACGAAGTTGGGCGTCTACGCAGTCCTTCAAATATAAATATACATAATCTAATAATTGAATAATTATACAATAAGAATATTTATAGAACATTAATCCATTAATAGTCCTCGGAAGTTACCCGTAATTTAATCTTCACTAGGATATAACAAATTTATGTACTAAATTGAAATTTATTTGTATCACTGGATTATTATATATTTATTGATAAAACCTACTTAAATTCTGAGTTTATACAACTCCACTGGTCCAAGATGTTCACACACACCATCATCCGCACTGGGTTTTAGTTTATTTTCTGGGTACTTTAAAAAAAAAACTGAGATTATTCTTTTAAGAGTAGTGAAGTCCATTTCGGTTGTGTTTCTATCTTTGTTTTTAAAAATATACTATGGTATTTTTGATTTCATTGTTCGTCATAAAAATTCTCTCTTGTGTGCTTATGTAGTGTGCATTTTGTTGTTGTTGTGTCATATTGACTAAATATTTGTTTGTGTTTTGGTATTCTTAATAAATACTGTGTCTTTTTCTTGAAATTTCTTTTCAAATGTAGACATTGTCAAAAGTTCTATGCTCGCTAATGCGTTTCAATGCAGATCAAACGCGTAAAGTACTAACTTATGAAGATCAAAAAAGCAAGGTTAGTTTCAGTTTTATCTTGTATCCTATTCTTATATACGAAATGAATAAACATCTAATTGTGATTTATTAGTCTTTTAGAAACCTGTCATCTTATATTTTCTATTCTCATTGAAACTGTGTCAATAAATTAATCCTAGTGATTTCTAGCTTCAAGTATGGGTTCAATTCTTTATACATACATTTCTAGGCAGTCGAAAATTAAAATGAAAAAATAACTGAATAGTTGATGCTGGTCCAATTTTATTATTTATTTATTTGAACACGTAAATATTGGTACAAGGGGGCACCGAATACGTATGCGCCACACAAATCTCATTTGATTTGTGTGAGGGCTGTGATACTGCCTAGGTGCCCAAACCGAAGCTGGTGGTTTCCCTAGGGAGCCTTCGACCTAAAGGTCTGACCCACAAGGCAGTGGAGCAACGTCAAGAGATGCAGTCCGATGGTAGCCGGTGACCAGCAATTGGTTCATACGCCATTCGTTCCCTCATGATACTGGTTTGGAATCAGGGTTTTCCAACTTCTCTAGGTGGACTCTCCGTGTCCACTAACCTGGTTAAAGTGCCGATTGTTCGCTTTTCGACCTTCTGATTTCGTAAACAGTCCCGCCACGAGAAGACAGTGAGTAGGACTTCCCTGGCAGAATTTATATACGCGTGGCCATGTGAGAGCATTTTGGGAGGGAAAGCTGACTCTCGCCACTCTCAGCCGTACCAGGGCATGTCGATCGAATGAAACTATCCAGATCACGTAGCAGTGAATCAGTCACTAACTGAACCTGAAAATTTCCTACAGAAATATCGACAATAATACTAGTATGAAACCATGTGGTGGCATACAAAGATAGTGAAGAAAAGATGTAAGTTACTGTTCATCGTCTTCTTTCTCCATAATGTGACTGTAATCATCAATAATCGATGTATTCTATACATAAAAGCATTGTAGTTCACCATTATCATGTATACCCATTTTGTATAATGTAAATGATTCTGATATGAATAATTGAATGATGTTGAGGTTAAGTGTTCTGTTGCAGTTCAGGCAGATTCATTAAAAGATAAATTTGTGTACCTGTATTGATCAAGATATGGGACTTTTAAAGGTGCATATTCTGACTGGTGCTATTTTCATCAATATCGAGTTGTGAAGGTTGTCGAAATTTATCGAGATCACGATTCGATTTGAGGTAGACAACCATTGAACACCTAGAAACGCTAGAAGGCCGTGTCGTCGTAGTTTGGGATTTCTCATCGATGCTTATCCACGACCTCCCATTATTCTGTCCCAATCTTTTGTCTTACACAAATGCTTAATCTCTAGACTACTGAAGCGGAATTTAGTGGTGTTTTTTAAAATCTAAATAGTGAATAGAATAATACTAATGCAAGTTTAATTTACTGAAAGTCTAAATATTTCCATGTTGAAAAAAACGCCTCGCTTTATGCGTGATACAGGCATTGAATGAAATTAACATAATATTAAAATATATAATCATTGATACGGAAGATTTGCCCGATAAATAGTTAAAATAGGTTTAATAGTGAAGAAAACTAAGGATTGATGTATCAGTTGGTGACATTGATCCAAAGGACATTGGATACCAATCTAGTGTTGTATGCATGAAGCTGTAGACTTTTCGTGTGTAGAGTTATCAGAAAGATGTTATCAATCGATTGTAGGGAAACGTATGCTGATATAAATCATCAATAATTACAGACAGACATAATCAACATAGAGGCTCGTACAGATGTAAGTTGGCTCAAATTGCCATACCACATTATCATGACGAGATGAAAGTAATACGGTGAATAATAAAAAATCGAAATAATATAGTGTTTTTGACGAAAAAAAGATTAAACATTGATAACTTGACTCGAAAAGGTAAACTATAAAGGTATATGCGGAAAAATACCAGAATTCAAAATAAAGGGATCCATTATGAACGATGAGTCATGTCTCCAAAAACTAATCCCACTTATCATTCCAATATCAACCAAACTACCTTCATCTATCAACGTAATAGAAAAAAGAAATCAAGTCATTTCCTTCAGAATATCAATCCAAAATGATGAGCGAATTAAGACCATTAACCTTGAGAACATCATGACCAAGCCTCATCTACTACTACTTTAGTATGAGTCACTTGTTTAAAGTCGACTACATTAATCTTTGTTCTTGGTATTCAAATGAACTTTCTCAATTGAAACTTTGTTTTAAACATTGATTTCAATATCGTTTAACTATAGCACAAATTAATATAGGGTAAGTTGTAAAAATGTGTGTTCTAATCAAATAATTATGAATAATATAACTTCATTGTTTTTCTTAATTATAATAAAACACACTGATAACTTAAATGTTTACTTCAATAACCATTCATTCTTATTATTATTGCTACTGTTAGTAGAATCATACACGGGTATATTATTTTCCTTGTGTTATAGTACCAATAAGTTTCTTGTCAAATTCTTTTGTTTACTTCAAAGCCCTATGGATTGGTATTATTCTTATGTACATATTTGAGTGCATTGCATATTTTTAAGGTTTTAAATTGGGCAGTCGGTATTTATCATTGAACAAAAAAGTTGTTGTCAGCCCCTTTTTCTTTGTGTATGACGTGTAAAACAAGTCAGTCAAGAAAAACACAATTACATATTTGCTCTACGTAAAATGTATAATTCCTGTTCAATGTTTATTTAATTTTAGACATGGACTATTCGCACAGTTATGGAATGAAGTGAAACTGACGAAATATCAGTAACTCTAAACTACGACAAGCGCTTTCCTCATTCCTACTACTATCACCTTTTCTTGTCTCTCTCTCCTCATACATAACAGCATACTTCAGAGATGATTTTTCTGGTTTACTTGAATCATTGTATATTTCCTAGGTGTTACTATTTGTGTCTTGAGTTTCCCACATGCTTTATTTCGCCTTTTATCCTATTTAGGATAAAGTGTGGATTTCTACTTCTATTTTCTTGATTTCATCATTGCATCAATCGTTGTTTCGTTCCCTATTTTAATTACTTCGTTATATATTGTGATGCTTTTTGTTTTGTCGCATTTTTTCAACAATAAAATGCAGACGTATATGTGGCTGTGATATGAACAAGTTGTAATAATCTTTTTTTAATATACACCTTTAATATATTGTTCAAATGATCTGTCGTACAGGTAAAATATTCTCCATATTTCAAATAATAACTTGATATTATTGTTATTTATACAGTGAGAATTTCATTTTGATTGAAAGGGTGGGTAATATCGTAGGATTATTGTCTAGGTCAGTGCAAACTTTAGAATCACACTATTGTCCTTACTAAGTCATCCTATCGTGATGATCAGCAATATAATGTTTAGCACTTCTGAAGAACATAGTTGGGCTGGGGATAAGGTAATGTATTTAATATGAAAAGCAATAAGCTACATAGTGACCACACACCGTACTAAGTGTTCAAACGATCACCATTTATGACATCAATGGTGTTAAGTGTTGAATGTAAATCACAGTTATCGTATGTTAGTCATCAAGGATCATATGGTTGAGAACCAATACCACTACAATATCCCTTTTTTGACAGTTTGTGTTCGACAGATTGGGAATATGATATTGTTGTGTTGATGTACAAATAAAATGGTATGTTCCCCGAAGAAAAAAATCACAATTTAGTAGTGTATCGTTTCACAAAAATAACGTTCATTAAGATTGATCCGAAAATAATAATCAGATTACTCGGCTCTGAGGTGCTTATCACCATTTGCCTTGATATGCTAGCTAAACGAGACATAGCATTTGTCTCTAAGGTCGTTGATTATTGTATAACCGTGTGTGGTTGGACATCATCTAGAACTTAAGTTATTAACTAGTCATCATCAATTCCTTCAATGTGTTTTGCTGAATTAAGTAGCTAGGGGTATAAAGCCATAATATGATGCTTTTTTGTTTGTCAGAAATTTACCTTTAAAGATTACATTATACATGTTTGGAAATTGGTTATAAAAATTTTATTTCTATGTCACCACTGTTTTATTTTCATTCACTTTAAAACAAAGTGTTTATCCACACTTCTTTTTTATATATCTCTATTTATACATATATATATATACAAGAATAAGGAAGAAATTACAGATTCGAACTATGAAAATACAAAGTGATTCATCATAATAGATTTAATCAATCAAAGTGTTATTTCCATGCAACAAATTGTTTAACACTGCCATCTTCCCCACCACTGTATACATGTGGTTGACGTGGATGAAACACAGTGGAAAATACATTCGAATGACTTGTTGGTTGTCCAGTACGAATTAATTGAACTGGTATAACAACTGGTTTCGATAATAAATCACTACAATTTATTTTTAGAGGAGAAGAAATAGCGAATCAAAGCAATCAGTGTTTGTTAATATATGAGAAGAAAAACAATATAATCATAACTAAGTAATAAAATGAGACTTGCTTGATGATACATCATATACATCTATATTAAATATACTTGGTATTCGCCAATTATGCAGAACCATTGAAAAGCATGTTGGTTTTAGACCAGATATTTACCCTCCATCAAATATTAAAGCATCACCATATCTACCCCAGACTATTGTATTTCTTGACATTACGACTGCCTTTGGAACAGGAATATGCTTTGTGGCTGTCTGTTCAAGGAGAATGTACCTGAAGAGTTTATCAACCTCTTGAAGGCTCTGTACATAAACACCTTGGAGACAGCGAGGCGATCCAACCACCTCTGTATTGTTCTAATTCAACAGTGGTGTTACGCAAGGTTGCATTACCTTACCAATCCTCCTCAACTTTGTCATTGATGACATTGTGGAGACAGCTCTGAATGAAGTGGTGGTGGTGTAGACCTATTGCTTGGAGAACGACTTTGCAATCTTGATAATGAGATGGGATCGTTTTAATATGCGACGACGCCCAAGTTATGCAGTTCGCAACTTATAAGTTAAAACTCAGTGCTCAGAAGTATGAGATGTAATTTTCACCTTCTAGATGCAAAGTACCTTTACAAGACTGGCGGGAGCCTGCGACTGCACTCTTTCGGGTGAGCCATTAATGGTTGAAACATTTGTGTTTCTGGATCGCTTTGTTAATGTTGTTGCTAATCTAGGTCATATTTGGCACCGTCGTGATGTTAGTCGAGTTAACGGCTTGTCTGTGAGAGCGATTCCGCTGTTATGCTTGTAACACCTAGCGTTATCGAGTTGAGTGTTCGGCGACTCTGTGTTCGATCATCGGTGTTTCTGAAGAGCATCTAATATAGGAAATTCAATCTTGCAATTAAAATCACTTATCTATTCATTAGAAGAATAGAGTTTAACTCAATGTTTTCAACATTCATGCATTGATAAATACAAACAGAGTATTGCATAAAACTAAACAAATAATTTCTGTGTGTTTGGTACGCAGATGATTTCACTTACTCGATTACTTTTCCATGAATTATGAGAATCGTACCATCACTCAATGCTACAGAAACTAATGGACGACGGTAATGGACTGCTAACTGTCTGACAGCACCATGATTAAGCCTAAAAAATAATAATTTATTAATTCCACAAATCTATGCATTACAAATGAAAAACAACGATATCTATATTAAAGTATATGCAGTAATGCGAATCGCCCAACATCTAATGTGAAGGGTTAGAACATCCAAGTGGCGATAACAAATACGATAAACATGACGTTTATAGTAGGATAAGTTTAGCCATTGAAAACATGAGCGATAAGATTTCTTGTTTTAATTTAGACTTAGATTTCTACAGGACGAGTAAATGACTATATATCATAGAATAGCTGTAGACTTTACTGTTTAACCGTAATGCGCTACATGTGTGATGGACGTAAAATTTGTCACCTTAACATGAATAGCATTTAGTTTTGAGAAGGACGAAAAACGACGTTTTCTAATAGGCCAGTGAATAAATTACGCAAAATCCTGCTTGAACACGCATACAATAAAAAGTTGGGATGATTATGTGGCACAATGAGTGGCCGAAATTTAGACAATAATATTAACAACGGGATAATTTAAACTCTACTAAATAATGATGTGGGTTGTGTTGATATCACGATATTCCGATCTCATGCCAAGTAAAAAAAGGATCATTAAGATACAGTCCCCAAAGTTCTTAGTTAGAAGCTGAGGCCAGTGGACTTCAACAATGTTGAGTACATGACAGTTATGTACTACAGGCAATATACGAGGGTTGTACAATGTCATGAATTGATTGAAGTTAGACATATACACCGCTGACATGGTGGTTTATAAGTCAAGCGTTCGCGCACGAGATCAAGAGTCGGGTTTGATTCCCCGTCGTAGGGTTGTGGACGCGTATTGCTAAGTAGTCTAATACAAGGACAACATGACCAACCAGTACTTTCAAGTTTCCAATGGCTAAATAGCTAAGATAATTTCGTGATTCAAATCCTGAGGATTCCATAATCTGCACAAAACCACATATACTAAGGACCATTACAAGAAAAAATCTAATGTCCTGTTTGAGTGCAGTGTATACTAACGTTTAATTAGTGGTGACAGCCTAAACAACGGCTTAAAATATTTGAATGGATTTCATGCATGGCTTCACAAAAGCATTGTTTGTTGACAATAGGAATGAAAGTAGGAGTGAGTTTATTTTTCAATTTATTCGATTTAAAACCGTTCAGTTCAAGAGCTCAGCACTAACTACTAGTATTATCAGTAGCCTAGACCAGAAATTTGGTTTAAAGATGAAAACAAAAATCCGTATTGTACAGTTAGTTGAGTTCTGTTATTATAGTGAATCTTTTAAATTTAAAAAACCGTTCAACATACACCCAGAAAATAGATTCCCTCACAAGAAATCAGTAATGACATAAATAATATATTTAAGTTGTGGAACGGTTATTTAGTAGTTAAGGTTTTTGAATTTTAGACCCTCGTTCGAACTCACCCCTACGCACTTTAGTTCGAAAAGGCGGGTAGTATCATTAACCCCCATACTTGAGATGTGACTCACATCTAAGTTTACCTGGTGAATAAATCAATTTAAACTGAAATCAATATTTGACTAAATCACTAAATAAACTCACTGTAACTTTTTGAATGGAACATTACCCAATTCGATATCGAACCAATTAAATCGACTATCATAACTACCAACAACTAAATGATCTCCTATAAGTACAAAAAAAGTAATTCAGCATGTATGGAAGTTAAAATAACACTGAATACGGAGTAAATATTGTTTTATAGCGTAGAAACCAAGCAACTGCAGTTTTTCTACAGGGAAATCGTGTATCAGTTGTTAGACAGTTAAAGACATAGGAGAAAACCTTAGATCTAGGTGTTGTGTTAGTTTATATTCGTCAAGTAAGGCATACTTGTAGTCTGAGCACGAAAAGCGAATGCCCAGAACTTGAACCACGTTGATGGACACGGATGGTTTGCTTAGGAGTTGGAAAACATTGATTTTAAATCAATGGTGTGCATAGACTCCAGGGTCATGTGGGATATAATGGAGCATGCACCTATTTTGGACACCAGCTACCAAAAGACTATATTTGACGTTGCTCCAATATCTTGTGAGTTAGACCTCTAGATCAAAGATTCAAGAAGTAAATCTACAAGAAAATCGCTTGTTTGTGGATGTCTGGGCAATATCCCAGCTCATTCGCGAATATGATGATTGATAATTATAAAGAAAAAGATTAACAAAAATATCACTAGCCGTCAAACACAAACGATAAAAAACAGTATTAAATACATAAGCCTGTTCATTTAAAATGAATTACAACGATTTTTCCTAGTGTAACTATACATAATTGCGTGAAGTGAATGTATTTTAACTGTAAATCGCTCAAAAATACAAGTCGTAAGATCAAATTAATCTAAAACGTTTCAGTTTCAATAACGTAATTATATAGCAAGCAGATTTAAACATACTTTGATACGTCACTACATACAACTATTTTGTTCTCTCTAACGACTATTGAAGTATTCACATAACAGTCAAAAGTCTCTTTGTACCAATGGGATAAATGTTAATTTAAAATAAAACTTAACCACTAGAGAGTGGTGCTTTGATGATTAAAGCATAAGAATGATACAATAAAAGATAACATTGTTAAATGATAAATAACCTGATGGATGAAGTGCCATGCAACTGATGAAATTCGATGAACTTTCCAATCGTAAACAACGTAATTCTTTTTGTTCCACTAAATCATATATACGTACTGCACGCGGACTAGCAACAAATAAATGCGGTTTACCAGTTGGATGAAATCCAGCTTGTTTCCATTCTACTGGTTTACCAGTGTCCGAGAATGGAGCTTGACTAGACATTTTCGATAAACGATGAAGTAATAATCGTTTAGCTGATCGTGAACGAACATGTGAAGAAAGAATTGGACGAGATAAAGTAAGTAGATAATCACCTTTCGGATGCCAATCTAAACTAATTATAGGCTATAAATAAATAGAAGATTAAAACATAGACAATATTTAGGAAGATGTACACTTATAAATGAAATATAGTGTATTTCATTTTTCATAGAATTCTGCGCAGAGAATTGTAAACGCTCAGATAAAACTTATGTCTATGGGCAGTAACATAAAAACTTCTATATCTATTTATATATGAAGCACTAGATATTGAAAAAAAGAGACAGTGACTTGCTTAAGGGTGTAGTTTCACTGTTTAAATTTAGTCAACGAATAATTAAGCTTCACTTCAATAGAAATACAATCACTAAATTCTTGGAATTTATGTGTACAAAATAGGAATCAGTGGATAAATACTAAAAAGGATATTATATTTGTCAAAATTTCAGGTATTGAAACAAAGAATAGCTTTAATGCTTCATTCGACGTTTTGATTTGATCACTTTCAGTGAAATAATCAAACATAAGTAGGGTTCACAACACATTTGTGCCCTAAACTATTATTCAATTAATTAGGATACCAAGTGAAATGGAGTTATTTCTGATTTTGTCCCCAAATGCCCTGGTACGGCCGAGGGTGTGGAGAGTCATCTCTCCCTCCCGAAATACTCTTACATGGCTGCGCGTATACAGCCATTACCAGAGAATCCTACCCACTGCCTTCTCGCGGTGTTATTGTTGTTTACAAAATTGAGAGGACGAAAAGCGAATGTTCGGCGCTTTAACCGGGTTGGTGGATAAAGGAGGACCCATCTACGGGAGTTGGAAAACCCTGATTCCAAACCAATCCTGCACATGGTTTCCATGATCCTGAGGGGAAAAAAGGTGTATGAACCAATTATTGGTCACTGGTTACAATGGAACTGCATGACATTACTCCACTGCCCTGTAGATCAGACCTTTAGGTCGAAGGATCCGGGTGTGGCCCCCTAAGAAAACCACTTGCTTCGGTTTCAGCACCCAGGCATCATCATAGCCCAAGCACAAATCAAGTGACTTGTGTGGTGCATATATGTTGGGTGCTCGTTTGCACCAATATTTATGTGTTCAAATAAATAAATACTTTAATTGTTGAAATTTCTATAAAGAAAGATAATTCTTTTTTGTCTTTCATATATTCGGTACCCAACTGTTATGTAACTATTTGTTTAAATTCGAGCGGAACTTCTTACATAGGTGATGAATCGTTTGATATGCTTGATTAAGAATTTAATTGTACTTTCGAATAAATAGATAAATAGTAGTAATCAAATTATAAAATGGTATTTAAAAGTGGAATTACATCAGTAACAGTGATGATAATCCGATGACGTTCATATGTTTTGGAGTTGGCCACTTTATTCATAGTCTGTGGTGGAATTTTAATAGTCCATTTAGCCATTGTTTTTGTTTCAATCTCTGATTGTTCATCATCGATATTCATTTCATCATCTAATCGTAATTGTTTGCTTGGAATAGTTTCAGCGGTATCAACAATATCCTACAAAAAAATGTACATTCAGTTATACTGCTAAACTGATCAAATTGAATTAAGGCGATAATGAAGCTCAAAATCCGATACTTGGGATTTCACTGACTTAACAATCACTACGGAGACGGGTCATACCACTTAAGGGGATGACTTGGTTGTTTTAGTATTTGGCTTTCAATCATAAGGTTGCGAATATGAACCTGGCCTCACCTATTACAGATAAATTGCTCAAGATAGGGTATGTGAACCGGAATTTTGTAAGTTGTTAGTATTGTTTCACGGACTAAATTATAAGCTACTTTTGAAAAAGAATCTGTCTATCTATTGATGTGCTATGTAAACACTGATAATGCGTGTTTCGAATTTGACTATCTTGTTCACATTATTCTTTGTTAGATTTCATGAAGATAAAAATCCACGTGACTACTGTGCACGATGTAATGAGAAATTGTAAACATCTTTCCATTAAAACGCATACAAAGTCCAATACATTATTGATCTAAATCTTATAACATTTAAAATGAAATAATCAAGCTGTGTTAACAAAGTTGTTACAGGCATCCAACTATATTCCCAGTTATTTACGATAGAATAATTTTAGGAGAAATTTTGGATAAAGTCAACAGATATTTTCGTAAATCGACGATCGACTTAAGTCACATACAGTTTAAGCCACTGACTGTTAGGTTAAGAGCAAGTTGTGTGACAAAAGCGAACGTAGTCATCAGATTAAGACAATTGCACTAGTCTATAAGATTACTGACTATTCATCTTAGCTATTATCAGGCACCTATGTGGAATAATAAAATGGATTAACTATTTGCACTATGATACATTATTCATGGATAAGTTAGCAGGAAAAAAATGACACTTACTTCAGCCTTGTTATCTGGTATCTGGACAGATATATTAGCTACATTTTCATTCATATCTGACCACCACTTTAAAAGACTTGATTCAGTGTGTGACACACGAACACGATCTCCTAAAGCTGGATTAATGATGAATAGCTGAGTGCCACTGCAAAAGGAGTAACAACAAAATTGGTTATTATTTACACGAATGATAAGAAAAGTAAGAATAGTAATAACAGTAAATAATAAGTTTTTGTTGTGACATTTGGTGCCCAATTCTGATACTTATAAACTAGCCTCCTATATACGTCCTCAATAAGCTACTGAATGAGAAAGAAGCATTTTACTGATCAACGAAATAAAAAAAGCTGTACACATACTCTTTATGCATATATAAGTGTTTATTCCTTAGAAAGTTAAGCTGCATTTTTCATCAATTGAGTATCACATTCCTTAGAAAAGGAAGTCAACACTTGATCAACTGAGTGTGTTTATTATCTGGCCAATGTTTGATGGATCCACTGAAGCATTTTTACATAACAATCAAGTTTCAGAACACAGATTAAACTGTAAGTTAGATTAGATTAAATGAGAACTTTTTTATGGTGAACAACAACTGAATAAAATAATAAATTGGTAGAAACAATAAGTTAATATTATTGTTACACGAGTAACAGGCGTAAGTAAGTAAGTAACCAAAGTAATAATAGTATCAATGGTAGGAATGATTAAAGATAGACAATAAGGTTCGACAAGAAATTATAAATTCACGGGATAAACAGTATAAGATAATTTCCAAAATCAAAATCTAAAGGAAAACAAGTGAAGGGATCTGGACCATGTCATCGATAGTTTCCAACATTTGGTTTTAGCCAACGCACTGATGCTAATTCATGATTTGCATTTACTAACAAGGGGCAATCTAATGATCACCGACTTCATGGACCGATAGTATACCTGTGTTTAATTTCCCATAGCTTTCTTGTAACCTACTTCTACACCATCAAAACGCAAAATGAGGTAGGCAGTACTAAAACGTACGTAACACATGCTTTGTGAATTTCACTAATCTATGGTTTATCATCGTCATGGATTTGTCTCATTTGGGGTACCAGTATGGAATTCCTATGATTTGCTTACTCACGATCCCACTTGAGATCGAACTCAGGGCCTCCAGGTATTATGGCTAACGCCGAACTATAGGTACTACTAGGTCGATGTCTAATAGTGTAATTAAAACTTTGATTTGAGATAGTGGGACAGCCATCTAAGGCTATTGCTGACAATTGTTTCTCTTCTAACATACATGGAATTTACCACTTAGGACTAAACACCAAAACTTCAGGAAACTTCCGAGGTAAGTTACTAGTTAACTAACAAACGAAAGCAACCGCACAGTGTCTTTTCAACTATGTTTCACTAATTCTCCAGATGGTGCCAGTGTCCACGATGACAGAAACTACCAATTGGTCTTCAATTTACATATTCTAATTGTTAGGAAGGATATAAGTGCGATGTCAGTTAATAATTCAGTGAACCATTTTTGTTCAGAACAGCACCACCTTTCCATCTTTTGTATGAGATTTCATTGTACATTAATTTACTGTTTCGTTGCTATGTTCGCGATGTTATGATATTACCTTGGATCAGAAAACGGAACGACAACCAGAGACTCAACAAAAAGACAAACCTAAGTTATTCCTCTGAGCCCAAGCCGGGCTAACTAGAAGAACAGTACGTTCAGCCGGGAAAATATCTAATTCTATGAACAACCCGGAAGGACAAATAACATGTACTCAGTTCATGCACAATATATAGAAATACAAAAAATGTCCCTGAAAAGCGTTACAAAATACAGCACTAAGAGAAAAAACGTAGCAATAACGTTAAAGTCCTTCCAGATGGAAAACACGAAGAGATAGTAATAATGAGCTCTTTACGCACGAAGATGAGAAATTCAAATTTCCACAATTAAATCATAAAAAGTAAGTTTACCAAGTGATTTATGGAGATCTGGCATCCCCAACATTCAACTCGTCTATTAAATTCAGTATAATCTTTTTGATAAGCACCAAATCCTGTGTAGCATTCTGTCTTATATCAGTACAGTGTCTTACTTAACCGGCCAATAATTAATGCATGTAAGTCTGTGTAGTCAAAAAATTCTTTGGGATTTGGATAAGAAAAGTAGATTTTTCATCAATTAACATTGGTTGTTCAAGTTTTCCTGTCGATGCTTGGGACTGAAAATGATCAGTCTCTTGTTGGCATATATGCATCTTTTGCAGATTGCCTCGATACCGCCATCAAGTCACAAGAATTGCGGGCAGAAATAGATGGTGGTTAGAAGTGGTGTCCAAGACGCCAGTTTCGTCCTACTTGTGACTCGTTAGCTGGATTTACCTGCATCCCAAAGCCGATGTTCATTCCGGGACTTCACCTCATTTAATAAGTCGATGGTTATCTGGACTCTAGCTAAATGGATAACGCGATAGTATTTGAAGCGAAAAATGCTTGGTTTGAATCCTGGAATGAATATCAACTTTGAGATGTAGGTAAATCCAGCTGACGAGTCCCAAATAGGATGAAATGGACGTTTTGAATTCCACTGCTAGTCATCATCCATCTCGGCTTAGAATAAATTTTTATCCGCAGAAATGTTCATTATCTCGCATGTATCGATCCATATCACGTTTCAATGACAATTATATTACAATTCGGATAGAAAGTCCTAGTCCTTGTCATATTGTAGTGAACAAGAACGCGAGTGGTGCAATCGAATATCTTAGACACGAAATTACAGAGCATCTCAATAAAATCTGAGAACCATATAGTAAATAGTTAATGTGCAAGATATCAATCCATCATATCAAACTTGAATGTTCCTTTTTCAAATATCACTTCATAGTCTCAGATTTCATGGTTTATGCATTTTCGTACCAATTGCGTTCCGTTCCCGTTCTTTCCTTATCGATCTTCTACTGAAATACATTCTATGCCTGACCACCGTTATATACTACTTATGTGGATATAAGTAACCCACATCACAATATTAGTTTTCATTTATAGTTATATATAGTTTTGTTTTCAAGTCTCTAGTTCGAGTTACTATACTCATAAAAAGTTAGAGAGAGAATAACCATGAAAGTGACTCAATACCTTTATTTCTAGAAATGAGTTAAAAATAATAGCCCTACAAGGCAGAGTTGAAGTACCAAAATAGCGAGGGAAGAAAATTACGACAATTCAAATATAGGTAGGATAGGTGGACTTTGGGTAACCATAGAATCCAGGACAACAATAGTTTATTCTATTTAAGACTTGCTAGTAGGACGAAACCCGCATCCTGATTTCTACCTTTAGCCACCATCCATCTATTCGATAAAACTTATGACAAAATGGTTAAATCGAGGAAATTCATACTGAATGCATATATACGGACAGAAATTCAGTTCTTAATATCAACAACAGGTAAGTTCAAATTTTTATTAATAATGATAAACACTACTTACATAGCTGCAGCTAAAAGATGTAATTCCGGATTAGGATTCCATGATACAATAGCGGAAGGAGAAGATGGAGACCAGTTTTCTTCATCGTCACTCGGCTGACGATTTGTTTCCTCCTCGTCAATATCATTATTATTAAATTGTGAATCTTCATAATTTAACTCTCCTATCTTATTTTGTTTTAATTTGACTTTTTCTTTTACACATGGATTAGAAAGACGATAAACGCGGAAACAATAGTTTGTAGAAGTTTCCCATATGCGTAAATAACCATCAGATGGGGAAATACTAGCAAGCCACTGTCCACATGGCGAAACTGATAGCGAGGTTACACGTCCTGAATGACCACTTAGTTGTAAAAGAGCAGATAAGCAAATAGAAAAGTGAATTCAATGGATTAATGTGTAATAAATCATCACTAGTGTCTTTTTCGAAGAATCTAAATTGATTACTTAGTTATCACCTATAAATTAGATATTCCGATGAATAAAACAATAGAGTAATCTGGATAATGTAATAAGAAGACGAAGATTATCAGAAATATGTTATATTGGTGCAATACATTTCGAACAATCTGACCACACATATACTTGTTAAGAACATTTATGTATAAAAATTAAAGGTCAACTAGACAAACGAAGGGCAAGAGAAGACAAAGATAATAAAGAAAATAATGTGAAACTCATCATTCTGGATAATAAATTAACATTATCAGGGCAGGTAAAGGATGAGAAAAAATGCTTTAAATTGAAGCGATAACATCAAATCAGGACGAAACAGTCGTTTTGATTTATTATGGTTTTTCAGGTGAAAGTCAGCGTTGATAAAAGTTATCACTTATCGTATACCTAATTTGTTTATCAGGAACGGGATAAAGTTTGTTAAGTTGAATAAAATACTTAGTTTCTTCTGTTTTATTTTATTGATGTGTCGTCGAAATAGGTGGTTTGTAGTTATTAAACTTTATTAACTGGTCATCTATGGCGAAGTTAGTGTGTGATCATCATTACTATTAATTGCTTTATTCAATATTGTATTCTGGTACAATATAGAATTCTCATCACAAGGTACTGTGGAGTATTAAACTAGGCCACAGCAGTTATCTGTTCAGCAGTTCCTGTATGGATACTCTCGTTCATGCTTTTTTATAATTAGAATGACACTTTTTATCATCAACTGATATCAGTTCAGTCGAAGAACACTAGTGAGAACTATAACACTTTGGCGTTAAAAAAGCCTGTCTACATTACCCTACCGTTCAGAGGTTAGTCAAATGACTTTATGTTGAAACGAATGCTCAAATCAGTTGTAAGTAAACGTACTATGCAACAAAGGTCCATTTTTATTGAAAAACAAGGTCCGTGCTTCAGTGAAAACCTAAATGATTGTGTCACATCCCACTGTGTTTACCAGTTTGCATTTGTGTGTGCCCACATAAACATAGGGAGGAATAATAGTGATCTACAAATTAAGGTGTCTGAACATGTACGTAAATGGTTACAAAAACAAATAAAATCAAATGACTCAATTAGAGAAGATGATACACATCAATCGGCCTCTGTCGCAAACATGGTTAACACAGGTCATAATATTGGTCTTAACACGGCTTTTGTGGCGCTGTACAAAAGTACTAAAACAGGTATACTACAATTTATTGAAGCCTTGGCCATACGAAAATCTAAAACCCACTTATATATTCAAAAACGGTTTGTTCTCACATTAAACCTATCCTGGTAATATTAGTTTATTATCTAGTGTCGAGTTTTACATTGTTTTTCTTCATTATCTTTGTTTTCTCCGACCCTTCATTTTTAGTCTGGTTGACCTTTTATTTTTATATTTAAATTTTCTCAAGAAGTGTATATGTGGTCAAATTGTTCGAAATGTATTGCGCTAATATAACACGGTTCTGATAATCTTATTATACTATCCAAACTTATCAAAGGGACTAATTACTTTAAACATATTGATGTTTTTTAAAGACGGTAAGATCCCTGATTTAGCAATTAGCATTTCCTTACTAGCATTTTATTCGTAGGCACTTCACAAGATCATTTCTACGTATATGTACTGACTTTCGTTACTACGGATATCAGTCATCGGTTACGGTTAACCATCGCCAACCTTGATAGGCGACGTCTGGTGTAGAAGGTTGGAGGAAAGCTATGGGAGGTCTGCTTCAAGTCCGTCTGATTATCGTAGCCAGTAGTTGAAAATTTTGGATGATATGGCTTAAAATCACTACACGATGGTGCACTGCATTCGCTTTTTGTTTTTCCTTAGATCTTAAGTCGTAAAATCTTTTTTCTTCTTATACTTCGTCTTTCCACTACTACTGATATTGTTACGGCTTCTACACTGGAATTTGTCTTGATAAATTTATCTGTGTTGTGGAAAATTGAATTGATGCAAATGGGTTGGAATAATGGTAGTATCGACTATATTAGAAATATTAAACACAAAGAAGGAAAAATCCGCTGGATAAAAATATCAGGTAATATTTAAATTCAAGATTCAGGGAAAGAAAAGGGGTGAATGTGTCTGGGCCACAACTAGATCCTAAAGTCTCGACAAATGAAAGTAATAAATATGACATTCAGTAATTGACTAGACTACAATTGAAAAAGCGTGTTACAAATCCAACACTTAGACTTTTGAGAACTCACATGTACTGTAATCCAATATGACTCGGATAAGGTCTCAATTGTGAAAGACTTGGAATGGGTGGCAACATAGCTTCTGGAGTAGTTGCAACACGCTGTTTTTCAAAACGCGTAGCCATGATCAAATCTTTGACACGCTCTTCACGTTCATGTAGATAACGTTCGGAAAATGGGACATGCCTTAAACATGAAAATTTTCGAGGCATTTGTGGTGGAACACGTGAAACATGCCCATCACGTACGCGTTCCCGCCAAGCCTTCATAACTTTCTTTTCCTATATTTTGACGAGAAAAAGGAAACTAATAAACAACACCAATGTTACGCTATTAAGATAATTAGTCAAACTTACATTAATTCGAAACAATAATATTTGCAGACCTATCATTTCTGGCAAGCATAAAAACACCACGATTAGAAATTAAGATTAGTATACATGATTTTTGAGCTCTATTTACTGTTAGTAGTTCCGGTTAACAACTCATCTGCCAGATACTCGACTTCGAGTTATATTTTGAGTGTGAGGGCAAGTGATACTACCAACCTGTTTCTCAAGACCCATGTAGGTGAAATGGAGTTCAAACTTGTAACTTAGTGGTTGACAGTCAAAAGTTTTTAACCAATGAGTCATTGTCTCAAAGTAGCCTAAAAGATAGGATCGTACATATCTGGCTTTTGGGTTTTGTACATAGCTTCGATATAAACTTTAAATATGAGCGCTGATGGTAGTATTTTATTTTTTAAATCTACAGAAGTAGGGTGGGTTTCGAAATTTACAGTTAATATTTAAGCACTAACCCAATAAAAATTAATTGGCAGTATACTAAAATAAATTATAGAAGACTAAAGTTAAAAAACACCCAATAGAACATTATAAACAAGCAATATGAAGTCTAGACTTTTGGAAGTACATTATGGCAACTGTTAAACACAGTGATATCCAGTTAAAGTTCAGCAAGTTGATGTTAAACTTTCACCATACTAATACTCTTTTATTGGCTACACTTAGGTAGAGTAGATTTGCTAAACAAAATTGCACTACAAATTAAACTTCTTAAAAATAAGCGAATGCTTGAGGCTTTTTAACACACTGAAAGCCGCGTACAAAAACGGCTTTCCGACGATGAATACAAAAATCTATCCTAAACGTCTAGTGAAGTGAGAAACTTCATATGATTTTCCATTTCTATAAATTTGAATCGAGCAAGAACAGCAGCCATAACACGATAATGTGAATTCACCTATCTTGTAGGTTTTTTTCCAGCTGTTTGAAAAATAAGAAGTATTAATACCAACTAGCTAAAAGACGAATGTTCTTTAATGAAAAGTAATAAAACACGGAAAAAAACGTAGAAGAGCTATAAGTCATTTTCATATAGTCGACTACTTAATGTGATTATATATGAAAGCACTTTTAAATGATTATTAGTATTTTTTCTAAGCTTAAGCAACTAAAGAGAATCCATGGAACAAGTAAATTATACTATTTGCTAGGATTATCGTTCTTGATATATAATTTTAATTTGCTATTTTACGTCACCTTTTCTATTAGTGGTATTTTGGAAGCATCGTCCACGCGAACGTGACGAAAACACAAACTCGCAAATCAAAATACCATTCATAACCTGAGTATAAAAAAACAGTTTTGCCGTACGATAGTGGACAGGTTACTTTAATCTTAAAAAATCTAGTGGTTATTAGTAGCATCGAGCATGGCACGCACATAATACCTTTCTAGATTAGGAACTTGATTTCACAATCATCCTTGATCAAGTTTCACTGTCTGGTTGGTTGTGCGACAGTCATTGAAACACGTATACTTTGATGCTGTTGCCACGTTTTTGTGGATATAAAAACTAGGTTGTATAGTAACTCAGTTAATACAATCCTGCTTATCCATATGAATATGATAGTTCTCTGAATTTATTTCAACTCATCAGAAAATAAACCACTAAGCATAAGATTTGTTGGTTGAAAATGCTACCAGATAGTGCTTGGAACAGAAATCATTGATTACCATGCCACAACTTTGTAAATCTTTTTATACTGGCAAATGCGAAAAGCAAGCAACAAAATAAATGAAGTCTTGCTTCGACTATGTTTTGATGAGATCTCGTTGTTCACTTTAACTTTTACGAAGTTATTTTGTTATAATACTTATTTCGCACCACATCATGCAGTTTAAGAATAAATGATGAATGGTTAAATTATTATATCAATACGTTATCAACAACAAAGTATATGAATCTTACTTCGTCCTTAGAAAGTAAAAATTCTGGAGGAGGGTTATAGGAGGCTATATGTCCAGGTAAAGGCTCTTCAGGAGCTTTTTGGTAAGGACGTGGCCGTGGTGGCCGGTAATCGGAAGCAAGCATTGGCAATTTCGACTGCCATGAGGATGTCGTAGTATTCACAAGGTCATTTTCATTATCTTGATTATTCCAGACATCAGGAAACACATATGTTGATACATCAAATGAACTAAAACTCAACGGTTCCTCATCGTAATCTGCATCTAGTACATCCGGATTTCCAGAAGCCATATATGCACCGTACCTTCGGAGTTCATCTAGATTATTTGGATCGCTTAATGCCCAAGATGGTAACTTTGGAACAAGCCAACCACTTTTAATAGCATGAACCATTCTACCTACCTGAAATACATGGATAAATGTAATGCTTTGCAAAAATTACATAGAGAGTAGGATTTACAGAACTCTGTATTTATCCAGTACGGTGTTTAATATATACATGTTAAATTAACATAACCGTATATTCCTTTTGGAATACGATATCTAACCAAGCATGTGGCTGTCAAATGCACCAGTTTAATCCAATTGGTTAACTTGTGCTCAGTAATGTGATTAATTTGAACGCTTTATGCATGAACACTTCGTTTGGTTGTCTATCTACCTATCTGTTGATCATATTCTATTATTATAGTGTGTAAATCTTTGAGACAGTGACTAACTGACAGAAGACAGTTTATATTCATTTCGGTACAATGCAGATCAGATCAGTCTAATTCAGTCCTGGATTTATTTCACTACGATACCATTGTCAGTATTATTTCTATTTTAATACAACTGCTGGTGATTCTAGGTGACAGTCAATATAAATGCAATCCATTTACAAAGAGGTCTAATTCTGGTGTTAATTCAATACTACTATGATTCCAGTCTATTTGTATCCATTTAATCCAACTATTGTTCTATTGTTTATTACTATTGTATATGCTAACGAATCTAATTGCTGAAATACATATTCAAGGACATTCGTGTTATAGTTTTTACTTAATTCATTTCTCCTCCGTCATCGATTACGAAAAAAAAGAACGTAACGTCCAGCCATGTCATTTTCTCCAAAATGTTGTGGTATATAGCGAATGAACTAGTATTCGATCGAGACATAAGCTTAATACAATGGGTTTTAAAATTTATACACAGCCTCATTAGATAAAAACATTTAGAATATTCACTTGTTTATCAGATACACGCACATCGCCAAAGTCACCAAGTAACTACCATTATGAAGTAGAATTTGGGAATCACTAGTTTTGTTGCCTTTTCCTTCAGAACACTAGTAACTAGCACGCAAGTAACTAGCAAACTAGAAAGATAATATACCTATGAGTTTTTTGTGTGAAATAAATTCCTTTCACAGTTGCTTACAGATACACTGTAACAAAGGTTGATAACATCTGCCAGATAGATATTTAACAACATGTAGTAAGACGACAATATATTAAGCAAGTAAATAATTATGATCAATATTTTTGGACAGAGCATAGAACACTGGACATCTTTGGTATGAATGAGTTTACAACATAATATACTGGCTATTACAATTACATGAGCAACGGAATAAGGTTGATGAACAATATTCTTTTCAATGTCGGTATTGAAATTGTATTGCTTTGGAAAACCTATAAATACCAGTAGATTGTTAAATAGCTGATTAGCTCTTAAGTTTTGGATTATTATTTCTAGTGAGACTGAAATATGACCTCCGCCAAGTCTGTTTAAAATACCTGCGATTTAATCGCAACATTAAGGCGATCCACACAGAACGAACGTATGCCGAAAGAGACTGGTCAATTGCAGTTCTTAGTATCGATAATGGGAAGATCCAAACATCCCTAACAAGTGAATTTCATTTCAACAGCCAAAAACCTTGATTTTAAGAAACAGACGGTTTTATGCAGTAGACTGGAGATACTATTTCTACAAATAGTAGTTTTTGTGTGACCCTAGAGGTTTATGGCTTAAACATCAAACAGGAGACAGTTAAGGTATCAAATGGTGAACTACATAAGATCTGTCAGTTTATTGCTTACAACTATTAGTATATGTACGTAACCACTGAAATACACTATGAGGTTGAAGTTAGTCGACAATTTTCAAGTGGTTGTTTTTCATTTATTAGGCCTACTTTGAATTTTTATCTCATGTATTGACGATCTATATGATTACTTTTCTTTACAATAAATGCGCCTAATACGCAAATTCGACGTTGTCGCAAAGTATTTATCTTGCACCGATAAAGTAGTAAGCAATTTAGTAAGATGGCGTTGACAACAGATTGAAAGTAGTATCATGTAATAAACTACAAATATTGAGCTTACACACGTGCTATTATTTATACGGTGCCATCAATTTTTACACCAATCTAGGTTGTTCACGTTGAAACAATGGCCTTAGATAAAACACAACATTGAAAATAAGAAGACTATCAAGTGGTCTACATAAGTAGAGATGAAAATAATTCGTAAAAATAATGGCATGCTTTTTTGGAATTAACATAACAGCGAATTAAGGAAAACTACTCAAAACACACATTTATACATCCAATACCTAATATGAAATCTAATTCGAATAAACGACCACTTACTCGTCTTTTATCTAACAGGGATGGAATGAAACTTCTTTTTTGAGGAGGGTGGGCGGTAAGTGGCATTTGCATAACATCCTTGGTGAACCACTCTTCCCACGTCTGGAAGTAATGGATTTACAATATGGTTTACCTCAAACGGTCCTTCTTTCGCATCAGCAGTAATCCCCTCACCCTTCACAGATTTGTGAACAATCTCCAAATCACCATCGCTTAACAACACTAACTGTCCAGTTTGTGGGTCACGTATACAACGCCACTCTATGCTTGATCCCCCATCTTCGATGTTTGTGTTACGCAAAAATTCGTCAATAGCGTCAGGTTTTCCATGATAAATATCTGGCTTCATTATAGGTCTTCCAGAGGTATCATAACCAATGTGCGCTAGGGAATCATACCATTGCAATGGTATGTTTCCAACAGTATTTCTCACGTCCTAATTTATATTAATAGACATTTTCAATCTTACTTCTTCATCTGAAGAGTCGAAATCATACTCATCACCCGTCTTTGATGACAACAACATCGCAACGTGCAAGCCCCGTACCGCAGTGGTTGTACTTGCCGGTCAGACAGTCTACAATACTAAGGATGGAGGTTATCCGACCTATGATAATTCTTGCAATTTGTAACACTGTAGAGTTCCAGTCTGGTTTTGAATGGATAAATAGAAGGTGCTGATATTACGTATATAAACTAGAAAGATTTAGAAGTAGGATCATCAACAGCATCATTTGATTTCAAATTGTTACAAATCACAATCACCCCAGCTTTGCTCCACAACATTAACGACCCCATCAGATACGACCTATAAGGCTCCTCGTCTCTGTTGCAGTCAAATAACTTCCTTCCTGCCTCTAGGAAGAAGTGATCATGCAGTCATCTTGTTCAGGTTCATGACTGAGATGGCCTGTCAAAGAGATGCGCCGACCAGTCCTAAAATATGGAAAGCAAACATGAAAGCGATCAACTATGCAACACCTACTGGAAACCCGAAGACCGACTCAGTCGCATCAGTAGGAGGCATGAACTCGTTTCCGGCAATTGCACAATCAGGTAACTCAACAATTTAAAGTCACAAAAAAGAAGTACGTCCATCCCTTGGTCGACCGGTATATTTTAAACGTTTATCGAGGTATGAACGTCTCCATCAGCCTTGGCATAACAAGTATGATGTGCCGCTACAGGTCAGTGTATAATTACAATTCTGGCAGGTCAGTGAAAATATGATATGCAGTTCAGTCTTCGGTAATGAGAATAGTAGGTTGGTGAACCTGTGTTAATCCTCACAAATTTCTTTCCAGTGAAGGTCCAGCCTCTCCTTGAAAATATTCACTAATGGGGCTTATACCACTTGTTCGGGTAAGGCGTTCCACTCATGAGAAAAACGGGAGCCCCACTTTGAGTTTATTAGATCGTGGTTTTTGAACCTTCTTGTTGTGACCCTGGAGGTTATGAGCGCTGTAGAGAGCAAAAAGACAAGACATATTAACACCAAAATCATAATTTAAGATACGAAAAGCTAGTACAAGGTCACCTAGCGTCCTACAATACGACAAGGGGAAAGGGTTTAAGTGTCTTAAACGCTCATCGTAAGGGAGTCTAGAAAGACCCTTCACTAATTTCGTACCCACACGCTGGACATGCTCAAGTGAGTTAGTATTCTTCACGAAACATGGGCTGGCTGCTTGAATACAGCACTCTACGTTTGGTCTTACATAGATGGGACATGAAATTCGAAACACTTTCTCGTCAAAAGATTTGAACGCTCGGCGAAGTGACCATAACGCACGAAAACCTTTGACAGCAACTTCGTGGCAGTGCATAGTTTTTTTTAAGTCGTGACTTATTGTTACTCTCAAGTCTTTATGTTCTTGAACGCGTAGAAGAGATGTACCATCAATAGTATAATTATAACTATTACCGTGACCGATGTGCATTTGCATACTCTTCCTAGAATTGACTTCTAAGCCCCAACGTTGAGCCCATCTAACTAAATCGTCAAAGTCAGCTTGGACACCCAGATGATCAGCCTCACTTGTTATTGTTCTCCAAATTTTTACGTCATGCGCAAACAATTATAACGACGACCTAAGCAACAGTGGCAACTCGTTAACGTATAGAAGGTAGGGCAGGGGGCCTAAGGTGGTGCATTGGAGTACATCACTTTTGACCGGCTTCCAATCGGATAGCGTTCTATTGACCTGTAGTGGCATTGGACTATAACCACACAATCCTCAAAGCTGAATACGAAATTACTCGGAAAATAGATATTCAATATTTAACGCTAAGAAATACCTAACGATGGAGAAGGCGCGAACAATGAATTGAATAAATTAGAGTTGATCGAACGGCATGGCTCGGCCATACAGGCGTGGTCTCTGCTGAATGTTACCTTATATCTTCTATTCATATTAAATATATTGTTCTTTCTCTAGCCTAACCTTGTTCTACATCATGTATTGGTAATTGATACGATACAGTGAGTTGGTGTAGTCGATGGTGTGACTTCCACGAAAGATCTTATAGATTAGGCAGTTATATCATGACAAATCTACAAATTTAGGATTAGGTCTATTATTAGAGCAGTACTAATATCATAGTAGATCATAATTCTACAGACCCTCACTCTTTGTCTGCGGTCATATAAGAAATTTCCTATCCACTCCCGTACAGTACCTATTATTCCGAAGCTCGTGAGCTTCTGCATAAGACCTACATGTGAAACCTTGTCAAATGCTTTGCTAAAATCTAGGAATATCACATCGACAGACAGACCTTTATCTAATGCTGCTGTCCAATCCTCTCTCGCAATAAGTAAGTTAGTCAAGCATGGACGCTTGTTACGAAATCCATTATTGAAACCATGTTGTTTGGGTACTAAAAGGTTGTTACGGGAGAACTGAAGACATTTGACAAATTAAAACCTCTTTATTGTACATTAATAATTTACTGTGTTTTTGGATGTAATTGTTTTACTTAACTTTTGAATTTGTTTGTTTATATCATTATTTCGGACATTTTGGTTTGGTACTTTGGTGCGCTCTTTATCTTTGATTTGGTACTTGGGAGTTTTGCTCCGGGAACCTACAAAATTGAAGAACGACATTTGGTCGATTATTTGTGAATTACGAATAAATTTGGTATCCAAATTGGAGTTTGGTTCTGTTATTAATTTGGGTTCGTAATTTGCAAGTAGATCGATAGTCCGTACTTCAATAACTAGAACGAGCAAAACTTGGACGTAACATAAAGTTCTTCAATTATTGGTTCTGTGTTTATACCTTGGATTTCCTGGATATTTGGATTCAATTTCCTGATCTTATTGATCGGTTTCGTGTGGATTAACTCAGAATTGTTTTGGTAATCGATTGCTTTGGAACAATCAATACGATGGAAACGCGGAGCAAAAGGCTGAAGGAAAATGACGAAATGGATACTAAAATTTCTAAAGCTGTTTGTGGCATGTCTGATGTTAATGATGATAAATGTGATGATGATAGTATTAATAGTATGTCCTCTAGCCAGCTAAGTAATTCTAGATTAAAGTTAGATAAGGTATTACTGAGGAAAAAGAATTTAGAAAAGAGACTTGAATTGGAACGGCAACTTAAGATGTTAGATCTTCAAGAAGAGGTTGATATCGCCGAACTAGAATGCAAGGCCATCGAGGACGAAGAACGATTACCTGTAGATAAATGTGAGATAAATGCTAAAGTGGAAAATTATTTGGATTGTGATACTGGATGTAATAGTCACTCAGGGAACGTATGTAACATCTCAAAGGTCGATTGGGTTGGCGAACTGAAGGACACGTTACATACAATGGTTAGTAACGTGGTTTTACCTAAGATCGATATGATGTATTTTGATGGACAACCGGGTCAGTATTACCGTTTCATCAGTCAGTTTAATAGCCTACAGAGTAAACTGTCAGATAAGAGCCAATTGCTGTCGTATTTATTATATTATTGCAAAGGAAAGGCTAGAACAGCAATTGAATCTTGCGTTTCTTTGCCCAGTCATTTAGGCTATGATAGGGCTAAACGAATTTTATATGATTTATTTTGTAAAGAACAACTAATCACTGAGTTATTAAACCATAAATCTGTCGGAGGATCAACTGACGTACTAACTGACTTTGCGATTAAGTTACGTAATGTATGTATAACGTTGAAGGAAATGGGATACATGTCTGACGTCAATTCTACGGCTAATTTGGAGATAATAGTTTCATGCCTACCACTAGAATTGCAGGATAAGTGGGTGGAAGTCGCCGATAAGATTATGATGCATGGGAAGGAGCCGAGCTTTGAAGAATTTGTGGTCTTCGTAGAAGAGAGGGCCAGAATTGCCCGAACCCGTTATGGTAGATTAGTACAGTGTAACTCAAGGTTCGGTAAAAGGAATTCTGAAGGCCAAGTGGATAGGAGATCACGCTTTCATGCAATTAGACGAGACCCAAATAACTCAGTCAAGGTACTACATTGTGAAATCTGCGTAGGTGATCATGAGGCGACAGATTGTCCAAGGTTATCAAAAATGAATGTAAAAGAAAGGAGGCAGGAGGTAAGAAAACGTGGTCTATGTTACTTATGTTTGAGGAAAGGTCACATAGCTATGTCATGCAACTCAGGCTTCAAGTGCCACGTTGAGAATTGCAAGGTTAGGCATAATTCGATATTGCATATTGATAGTATTGATGGCCATATGGTGAATTTAGCTAAGGATTAAAACTCCTCAAGGGTTTGTTTGGGTATCGTTCCAGTCAGACTGTACGGTCTCAAAGAATGTTTGGAAACATATGCACTTCTAGATAGTGGTTCGGACACTTCTCTTGTATGTGAAGAATTAATTAATCAGTTGGGTATTAAAGGTAAAGAGACTTCGATAAAGATGGCGACTGTGAACGGGACTAGCAATTGTGAATGTTTGGAGGTAAATTTGGAGGTATTTTCATTAGATGAACGGGGTTCTATAAAGATCAACAAAGTTTACACGACCAAGAAACTTCCGATCGATCATGCAGCACCTTTAAACGAACTCCAACTGAAGCGATGGAAACACCTAAGGGACATAACCCTCCCGAGGTTGCGAAGTAATTTTGTAGGAATATTGATTGGATGTGATGCTCCGGATGCACATTGGGTCTTGGAACAACGTCTGGGGGACAGGAAGCATCCGTTTGCTGTGCGTACTCATCTCGGTTGGATGATTATAGGTCCTAAGGGAGTATCAAGGTCTCTACATCAAGTTCAATGGTGTCATTGTTCCGCTAATGATATTTTGCGAGATTTAGAAAGATTATATAATCATGAGTTCGAAGATACAGATACGATTCGTAATGGATATTCTGTCGAGGATGAAAAGGCTCTAGAAATAGTTAGCAATTCGTTTAAATTGGAGGGTGGTCATTTCCAAGTTGGTCTACCATGGAAGTATGATAAGCCAAGGCTACCGAATAATTTGAAACTAGCTGAACGCAGACTAGAATGCTTAAGAAAGAGGTTTATGAAAGATAACAGT